TAAACTCCCAGCTGGCTTAAGCAGATGGACACTTTGGGGCATCGGCTGATCTGTGGGCTGCAGAAAGCGGATTGGATATCTCAGTGAGTTGGAGCACCTGGTTGGGAGTTTGATTTCCCCACTATTTCTCTTGGGGTAGCAGCCAGCCTTGGGCGAGCTGCACGGTGCCAGAGGACACCAGAAGGGGAAACTGTCAGTCCACTTCTCAGTATCTAGAAAATTATGGGGAGAGTAGTCATAAGTCAGAATCAACTTGAGAGGACGTAATTATTATATTTAATTTATTCATGAGATGCAGTCTCCATATCGCTTAGCTATTTCCAGCCTGTCAGCATGATGTGATTTCTACTAGGATGGAGATTTTTTTCCCCCAATCCTCCTAGCAATTTCATTTGAGCCATCTTGAGAGGAATGCTTCTGGAAAAAGCCATGGTAGCTGCTTAAGCTGGGATACTCTGGAGAGGCATGAATTAGGAGGGAATAAAAGATGGGAGGTGTTCAGCTGTGGTGCTAGAGTGCCTGCAATGTTCAAACGGAGCTACTTTTGGCAAAGACACAGCACAGTACAGCCACTTGCTAATTGGGCCCACTGTGCTTCCATGCTTATAAACAATACTTGCATCGAGTTCATTTCAGCCTCTGGGCCCCTTAATTTTCCAGGCTGCTCCACAGCTGCATAATATGCTGGCATATACCTGAAGAGGCTCCAAGCCATCGACATAAGTACAGTAGTCGATTCAGGAGGCCATCAGGTTTCCCTTGTATTTATTTGGTAACATATTTACCTGCTTTTTACATACACTTCTCTCCTGTCTTTTGGGGCACAGCAGGGCATGCCTTGTATGCTACTGCCAGAAGAGGAAAAGAAGGTAATTCTGTCTTACACTTGATCGTAGTTAAAGTCTGCCTAGAGCAACAAGACTGAAATCGTGCTTTGAAGCTGAGAACATTTACTGTATTTCCAGCAAGAAGCAATTCAGTAGATAGAAGCCAACTCTCATTTGTACTAGGTTCTGTGATTGCTGTTTTTTTCATTTTTTTTAGATATAAGCTGTTATCTGTCCGTAAGTCAGTAAACCTAGTCTGCATTAGGTGCCAGACTGCTCAAATTGGTCAAAGAAACTGCTGGCAGGAAATAAGAATAATATCTTTTGGATAAAGGCAGAGGATAAATTGCTCATTAGCTATCCTAGTTAGCCTTCATCAATTTCAGCAGGATTTGTGCTTGTATTCAACAACAAGAGAAGGACAAAAAGGGAGAAATAATGCAGCGGCTGCAAAGAAATTCTTTATCTGGTCAGGTTCTGACAGGTTCCGATTAGGGCCCAGTTTGCCTCAGTTTTGATGTCACTGACGCAACCCTGATATGCCAGGAAGGTAGTTCTTCACTTAAGATCGAGCTGTAAATTACAGATAACCTCTTATTCTCATGTATTCCAGAGACATGACATAGCCATACCTGCATTAGTGAGCTATCAAATTTGCAAACAATGTGTTTAGTCGTTTAGTCGTGTCCGACTCTTCGTGACCCCATGGACCAGAGCACGCCAGGCCTTCCTGTCTTCTACTGCCTCCCGGAGTTGTGTCAGGTTCATGTTGGTTGCTTCGCAGACACTGTCCAGCCATCTCATCCTCGGTCGTCCCCTTCTCCTCTTGCCATCACACCTTCCTAACATCAAGGTTTTTTCCAAGGACTCTTTTCTTCTCATGAGATGGCCAAAGTACTGGAGCCTCAGCTTCAGGATCTGTCCTTCCAGTGAGCACTCAGGGTTGATTTCCTTTAGAATTGATAGGTTTGTTCTCTTTGCAGTCCAGGGGATTCTCAAGAGCCTCCTCCAGCCCCACAATTCAAAGGCATCAATTCTTCGGCGGTCTGCTTTCTTTATGGTCCAGCTCTCACTTCCATACATCACGACAGGAAAAACCATAGCTTTGACTATTCGGACTTTTGTTGGCAAGGTGATGTCTCTGCTTTTCAAGATGCTGTCAAGATTTGTCATCGCTTTCCTCCCAAGAAGAAGGCGTCTTTTAATTTCAGGGCTGCTGTCTCCATCTGCAGTGATCATGGAGCCCAGGAAGATAAAATTTGACACTGCCTCCATATCTTCCCCTTCTATTTCCCAGGAGGTGATGGGACCAGTGGCCATGATCTTAGTTTTAAACAATGTTTAGTTGCAAACAATGGCCGGTCACAAAACAAGGCAAGCCATTTGGTTCAGTTTCAGTCTAAACATCAGAGGAGATTCCAGGGTGCTGGTAAACTTGCTGCCTCATTGCTTTACCTTTGCCCATAATGACTAATAAAAGTGGCCAAGGGGCTACCATAGTTTAGACTATCAACATCAGCAATGCCTCACTGAGGGAGAGTTACCTTCTCCTGTGTGTGAAGGAAACTATTATAGGGCCCATCTTGAAACAGTCAAATTTGACAACAGATAATCTTAATAACTTTGTTGTCAATACACCCTTTATGGGCAAGGTAATTAAGTGGATGGTGGTGGAGCAGCTCTAGACATTCCTGGAGGAGAATTGCCTTGATCCATTCCAGTTCAGATTCAGGCCACGGCATGGTACTGAAACAGAACTGGTCTTGCTGCACAAAGAACTTTGAAGGGAGTCTGATGGAGGAGCAACCACCACTTGTTTGTGCTCCTGTATCTCTAAGCAGCTTTTGATACAGTCAACCATGGTATCCTCCTGGATAGACTCTTGGGTGTGGGGATTAGGGCCCTGTTACTCAACTCGCTCCAGTCCTTCCTCAAGTCCAAAAAGTGCAGCTCAGGGAAGATTTGTTGGTTCTTTGGCTCCTCAACTATGGTGTGCCCCCAGGGGTGATCAATATTTATGTAAAGCTATTGGGAGAGTTAATTAGGAGATCTGGAGTACAGTGTCACATTGATGATACACAACTCTATCTCCCCTTTACAACCTCCAGCTGCTTGAGCACGGCCTGTCTTCAGTCTTGGTGTGTATCAGGGCCAACAGGCTCAAACTGAACCCGAGCAAGATGGAGATCCTTATCCTGTACCCTTCTGATAGGTTAGAGGGCAGTCTGCCTAGGTTGTGTGGGGTAATCCTCCCACTTAAGGATCAAGTTTGGAATCTGGGCATTTCCTATGATCATGGGATTCCCAGATTGCAGCTGTGTCCAGGTCAGCTTTTAACTAACTGAGGCTTATCACCCAGCTTTGCCATCACCTAGACGAGGGGGCCCTGAGGATGTTTGTGTATGCATTGGTGGTCTCCCAGATTGACTACTGTAACACTCTCTGTATTTCTTTGTGACTGACCCAGAGAGTATAGCAAGTCTAGAATATGGCCGCCAGGTTGGTGACAGGTGTGAGTTAATTTGACCATATCAGTCTTGGCTTACCTTCACTGGTTACCTGTAATGTCAGGTTCAAGGTTTGATGCTTATTTATGGAGCCCTCCATGGTTTGGGATCCTGTTACTTGTCAGAGCACCTCTTCCCAAGAACATCAACCTGCACCACCAGATCTTCTCAGGCCACGCTATTCCTGGTTGCCACACAGAGGGAAGCCAGAAAAGCATTGACCAGAAGTTGGGCTTTTTTGGTTGTGGCACCTGCCCTTTGGAATGGGCTCCTGGCTAAGCTGTACCAGGTCTCCTCCCTGTGTGCCTTTGAAAATTTGTTCAAGAACATTCACTTCAAAGAGGCTTTTAACGGCATCTTCAAATGAACCTACCCAGTTGTCCTGCCTGTCCAATTATGGGTTGGTGTTCTTGGTTTGTTTGCTTTATGATGCTTGATTTGATTGGATTCCTGTATTTTTATTATAATGGTTATTGTTTAATTTATTGTTACACTTTTGCTTTGACCTTATTTGTTTGTTAAGTACCCAGAATAGTGCTTTGTACTAATGGGGTAATGTAAAAGTCTAATAAATAAATAAAATAATTTACAAATTTTCGGAGGCTTGAAAAGTTCCTGATATGACAATGAGATGTCTTTGCTGGATCAGACCAAAGATGTATCTACTCCACCATTCTGCTCAGATAGCAGCTAACCAATTGCCTATGGGAACTCTGCAGGCAGGACACAAACATAATAGCAGTTCTCCACTGTGTTTCACTGCATCTGGTACACAGAAGCATAATGCCTCCTTCCTCTACTTGTCAGTAGTGAATTACTCAATCATGTTTAATAACCATTGACATTCTTATTCTCCATGAATTTATGTTATCCTCTTTTGAAGTCATCCAAGCTGATGGACATGGCTGCATATTATGATAGCAAATGCCATAGCTGAACTCCATGGTGTGTGAATAAGCTATTTCCTCTTATCAGCATTTGAATAACCACCATTTAGTTACATTTGATTACCCAGGTCCGTGTATACCTTTTGATGACTCTCAAAATCATGATAACTCTTAGTGTTGACCATTAAAGAGTTTGCAGAAATAAACTCTAATTTTCCAGAACAATAACCAAGAAAAAAACATGTAAAGATATACGGCAAGGTACAAGAAAGGAGGCTGGATATCTCAATAGTTTAGGTAGAAGTTGGGATTTCAATTCCCTACTTTGTCTCCTGAGAGAAGAGTCCGCCTGTGTGGCCTTCGGCAAGCTATACAGTCCCAGGGGGACTCCAGAAGAAGACAATGGCAAACCATTTCTGAGTATTCTCTACCTGGAAAACCCTGGACAAGGTCACCATAAGTCAGAATCAACTTGATAGCACACAATTATTATTGTTACAAAAAACTAGCCTCTTGGTAGTTAATGCTACCTTTTAAAAAAAAGCATAAGCTTGGTGACTTGCTAAAGAAGCAGTTATTGACCCTCATAGAAAATCTCTGGCCATTTAAAATTTGCCTAAATAGATAATAAACAGCCAGATTTCATATTATACATTTATTTTCTCCTTCCCCCCCCCTTTTCCTTCTGATTCTCTGTTATGATCTCAACAGCCTTTAACACTCCATGGCAAAAGCTGGAAAGAAAGTCTCCACCAATAAAACCACATAGAGATGCACTTGTTCTTTATTGGAACGAGAAAAATGTCACAGTTTCTGCTTGGTATAATTCTCCTTGAAATGCGTAAACATAGATGCCATTTTTTAAAAGGGCAGGGAAGGAAGAGCTCTTAGAATACCAGATGGTACACTGAATGTTACTAGTAGTAATAAATAATGCCCTTCATTGGCTCTGGCTTTTGCCTGCTCTGTCCAGGAGCTGGCATTACAATACAGTGGAGATAAAGCCAACCTGGGTATTTGGACAACGAACGGGATGCTTATAGATCATCCCATGAGACTTGACGGTTGTGGGCCTAGATGGCAATGTCAGTATTATCAATATTGTTCATGTTCTTGTCTGCTTTGCAGGAAAAATACCGGTTCCAGATTTGCAGGAATGTGGTCCTGAATTTTTTGATCCTGAATGCATAAACAATGGGGTTCATGGCTGAGTTCCCATGGGTCAGAAAGATTGCAATGTGGGTGAGGATGCGAGGGGGATTCCAGGAGGGACAGAAAAAGCTGACACAGTTGCGTATGTGCAGAGGCAGCCAGCTGACAGCAAACAAGAAGAGAACCAAGGCCAGAGACTTTGCAATATGGAGCTCCTTCCCATAATACTTCTCTGGGTCCGTTGAACTGGAGCCAACCTTTTTGTTAAGCTGCTTGCGGATGATCTTGAAGACCTCCAGATAGATAACAAACATAAGGAGCAATGGAGGGAGCACCCAAACAAAGAAGTTGAAGTATACCATATACTCCATGCTGATAACATTCTCAAACTGGCAGCTAACAATGAACTTGAATTCACTAGAGTTCTTCCGCATGCTGTTCAGGTTGTTCCAGCCAAACATAGGGGTCAACCCCACAAGGAAGGAGATCAGCCAGCAGCAAGCAATAGCCACTCCGGCACGTTTGGGAGTCACCACACTCTTGTAACTGCAGGAACAAGAAACAAAACATACACTGATGTCTTACAAATGACAAGATAAGTTGCGTTTGAAGAAGGAACATACTGTAGTTTGAGAACAGCATACATGTTCTAGATGTAGAAGGTCCTAGATTCAGCTTTTCACTTTTAGGCAAAAGAGCAGATAGCAGATGATTAGAAATACCCTTGTCTGTCTAGGCTCTGAGCTATATTTTATGATAATCCGTCATTAGAAAAAGGAATCCCTTAGTTGCATAAAGCATCTGATTGTCACGGCAGGAACATTTCTCACTTTACCAGAGTTTTCAAATTAGCTTCTCTAGTTTAGTAATTGGTCTTTGGGAACTAAACAAAGGCTTCATTTGCAAATCTGGTTTTCAGGCATGAAATCATATCTCTGGAACACTGATTTCAGCTGTAATGATATGTTATCACTAAGTTGCAGTTTGGCCCTGGGACTTTTGGAGAGTCACTGGTAACCAGAATGTTCAAACTATATATCCCAGAATCCTCCAGCCAACAGGGCCAGTGGCCATATTGGCTAGGGAATCCTGAAAGGTAATGCAAAAGAGTCATTTTTCCAAGCTCTGGACAAGATGGACACATAGTGTGGACTAGTGTAAGGCAACTCCCCATGTTCCAAGAAAACATGAGAAAAAGGATACAGATGGCTTGTGAACCAGGATGAGATATTTTTTGCCATGAAATTTTAGAGAGAGGTACCTCCACCACCACCACTACCATCACCCCTGGTTACTAGCCATTCTTGGCAAAGTACCTACGGATTCATAGTATCACCAATTTTAAAATGTTGTGCTCCTACTGTATGCCAGTATTTAATCTTGATAGATTTTTTTTCAGGGAAGAAAAAAAAGACAGATGAGTAACTGGAAATATATGGGAAAGGCCAGATCTTCCTCTCCACAAATTTCATGACTGATGCAAGGGGATTCTAGAATAATTTCTTTATAAGCACTCAAAGAGAAAAGTTTTCAAGGTGGATTTCCAGACTAATTCAACTCCTTTAAAAGTGCCAGATATGACTGTATTTCCCCCCACCAAATAAAAGTTAGATTACACCAGGCACTGAGGTAACAAACATGACAGATAGAAAACAATATGGTCAGTAAGGCAAATCATGCTTTGGTAGCTTTTCAGAAAAAAATGGTAGTGTGGAAATATGAACAATAAATGCATACTAATATCTTTAGTAAAGAGAAAAACTTTTCTCTTTCGGCAGGCCTTCCCTCCTGTCGATACTTGACTTTATATTTATTATAATTTTCTGTTTTCCCATCTTGAGCACTACTAAGCATTACTAATTACTATTGTTTTGAATTGTTTTTAACTGTTTTAGATTACAATGTTTGATTGAACCCGCCCAACATAGACTTTATCTGAAAGGGCGGGATAGAAATCTAATAAAATAAAATAAAATAAATTAAATTAAATTAAATTAAATTAAATTAAATTAAGAGAAAATCATTACCTGATTACCTGCCAAATAGGGAAAAAGTGAATCCCTGCCTCCATCACCAGGAAGAAGGAGGGAGATATTTGGCCCTTCAGATGTTGCTGGACGGCAAATCCTATGATATACCATCATTGTGTATGATGGCTATAGCTGATGGGCATTAGAATCCAGACCGTACATTCTACATCCCTGATCAGTGTACTTTCTTCCCTGCATCTGTGCCAGCTTCCTGGTTATCCAACAAGACAACATAATGTAAATTGTAGACTGGATTCAGCATTTCAGGACCCATCTGAACCATCATGAGTGGCTTAAGACAGGCTACTGCATTTCTGATTCCCACATATAACATGCAGACAGTATAGGTGACCTCCTGTAGGAGCCTGGTGAGAATTGCTCAGATAATATACTTTCAGGGTTTTAGAAAAAGTGCTATGAAAGTCGTGCAAAACAAGAAAGGCAATGCAAAATAATACCTTTGAATTAGAAACCAACTAATGTTCAGAATACAGAATACCCTTCCAGATCTATAGTTCTAAATTGTTGTTGATGGTGATGATGATCATGGACTCTTCAATGGACTGATAGTTACTGCTTGCTTACAATGAGGTTTTTACTGTGCCTCAGAGTTAGCATACAATGTTGTTTCTAAGCTTAATGTTTGATCAATATTTTTAAATGGTTTTGGTAATGACTAAAAAGAGATGTTGGCCTGGACCCAAACAGTCCAATATTATGTAACCTAAAAACACCACTCACCCGCCTCCAATTCAAAGCGCCTCTCTGAGAATTGGCTGCCTTTGCTGCAGACTGCTCAATTTGCAAACAAACATAATCAGTCAATGATTATGCGTCTCAGCAGCTGACACTCTCCTACGCAGACATTCCATTTTGAGTAGGAAGAAATTGCAAAACCAAGTCCTAGTAATGAAGTTTACATAGCAAATAAAGCTACAGATATTACGAATTTGAAGTAATTTGAAAAATGGCGGGATTAGAGTTGGGAAATTGGTCTTTCTCCATCCTGCAATTCTCACAAGCGGGAAAAGATTATTTGCAATAATATGTTTATTTTATTTTTATGAAAGGTTAGAGAGGCCAAGAATACAGTATTCAGAGGGATAGGGAACATATAGTCTTCCAGATATTCTTGGACTAAAACTTCAATTGTCCATCATCACTGCCTATGCAGATGGGAGTTGAGGTGCAACAGTATCAGGAGGGCCACAAGTTTCCCACTTCTGCTTTTGAGATTTACAGGAATAAATTAAATTGCAGACAACTTAAACCTTGTAAACAAGCATCAATAATAAAATAAAATAAAATAAAATAAAATAAAATGATGATGATGATGATGATGATGATAACGATAACGATAACGATAACGATAACGATAACATAATAATAATAATAATAATAATAATAATAATAATAATAATAATAATAATAATAATAATAATAATAATAATAATAATAATAATAATAATAATAATAATAATAATAATAATAAAGGAATTGACAAATGTACAGCTCTGTCTATGCACCATGGCAAGATCCAAAACCTAGATGGAACAGAGTTAGAAAATGGCACTGTTATAAAATCACTCTCAAATGATGAAAATTATAAATACCTTGGAATATTAGAAGGAGACAACATCATGGACACAAAAGTTACAAATGGACAAAAAGAAAATATATCAAAAGACTGTGGAAAATCTTAAAATCAAAATTAAATGGGGAAAATATAATCAAAGCCATAAACACATGGGCCATTCCAGTAATTAGATATCCAGATGGAATAATAGATTGGACTCAAAACGAACTAGAAGAATTGGATCAAAAACACAGAAACTAATGAACATGCATCACACACTGCATCCCAAAAGTATTGTGGACAGATTATATTTACCAAGAAAAGTTGGATATTGTGGATTACTGCAAATACAGGAGGTAATAGAAGAAGAAAAAATAAGCCTAAATGATTACATCAGTAGAAGCAAAGAAAAAATTACTGAAAGCAGTGAAAATGGAGAATATTTTGAAAACAATAGAAACAAAGGCTCAATATAAGAATCCACAATTTGAAAAGAAATTAAACAGAAACCACTACATGGACAACACCTGAGAAATATTGATGGTAAACATGATCTTAATTCAAGATGCGCATGGCTAAAACTGGGGACCCTTAAGAAAGAAACTGAAGGCATGATTTTTTCTGCAGAAGAACAAGCACTCCAAACCAACATGATGGAAGCTAAGATCCAAGGAGTTAGTGCTAAGAGCATCTGCTAATGTCCAAAGATTGCAAATAGATTACAAAGTTAGACATGATAGAATGGCTAAGTTAGTGCACTGGTCATTATGCAAACAATATAACTTGCTGGCCTCCAAAAACCCATGGGAACATCAGGCAGAGAAGGTGTCAGAAAATGAGGAAGTCAAGATCTTGTGGGATTTCCAGATACAAACGGACAGACACCTTGAACATAACACACCAGACATAATAGTAACAGAACAAAGAAATGTCTGATTCATTGAAACTGCAATTCCAGGGGATGCCAGAGTTGAAAACAAAGAATTGGAAAAACTAACAAAGTACAGAGACCTGGCCATCGAAACATCTTGCCTCTGGAAGAAGCACACTTCAGTGGTCCCCGTAATTATTGGGGCTTTGGGAACAATATCAAGAAATTTCACACAGTACTATAAGCAGCAGCGGATCCCAGAAATCACACCATCAGAGCTTTAAAAAAAAGCAGCATTAGGAACAGCATACATACTGTGTTGATATTTAACAGATAGGTTTTTGTTAAAACTTGTATCTGTTATATAATACCAGTGAATGTTTTTATAATTTTGACTGCGCCTGGTGTTTTTGAATCATCAACATCATCATTATTATAGACCATGAAGATGTTAAGAAAATAACAATCTTTCATGCAACCTAACACTGAATCTTAATGAGAGGAGGGAGCTTTCACAAATTTAGGTGGCTGTCTTCTGCCACTAATCAATTAGCGAAGTTCTTTTTCCCACCTCTGGCTTGCCTCTTTCTTCTCTCCTTCTGTTCCCCTCCCTTCTGTTGTTTGCTTGCTCCCCTTCTTCGTCTCTGACCAAAGCAGACATGCAATTCTCTGCTCCTGACCTCTAACAATGAGGCTGCAGGGTGGATCATGTCTCCCACATGGTTGACACTTGCAGTTTCTTTTCTCTCTCTCTCTCTTTTACACTTCTGACTCTGAGTATCTCAACAGTAATTAAATATATTTTTTCTACTTAAGATGCTTTTAGAGTTACTTTTATTATACAGTGGTGCCTTGCATAACGAGCGCACCGTTTAACGACGAATCCGCATAGCGATCTATTTTTTGAGATCACTAATGCGATCGCATTGCGATGTTTTCATGGGCAAAACATCGCATTGCGATGATCGGTAAGCGTTTCGCTTACCGATCTTCGCATTGCAATGTTTCTAAAACAGCTGGTCGGCGGTTCAAAAATGGCTGCTGGGTGCCCAAAATGGCCACTGCAACC